GTGGTACCGCTGTTGAAGGGTTAAGGTTAGTGATGTTAACATCGAGTAGGCCTTGTAGGAGAAGGCCGATGTATTGATTTTCGTCTGTCCCAAAGTTGAAATACGATATCCCCATAACAATTATCTGCCGTGTTTTCTGAAGTAAGCACTCCAGACAATGGCCGCTATATTGTGAAGTGCTCAAACAATATCCGCCGGATTACGTATAGTAAGCTGTTCACATTTTTTCCCCGTGGGGGGAGGGGGCACGTGATTTTAGAGTGGGGGGGGGGGTGCAGCCCTATCTTCCTGTCTGCCCTGTCCATCAAGTGGACACAAACCCATCGCCAGAACGCCCTCACCTGAATTCTATACCGTGGGGGTGGGGGGTAGGGTGAGGGAGTCACGCGATGCTCACGTGATCGTTTGACCAGCACGTGCAATCACACCCGGCCACTGACACGAGTTGATTGGTCAGTAGGCCTGAACCACGTGACGGAGATGGACATTTTTGATTGGAAGATCCTTTGTTTACGGTACGATAGTTTGTTGTGACGTTTGTAGTGACACTCTTTAATGACCGGTAACTGCGGGGTGGGCGTGGGGGCAACACACCGGTAACTGTAGGGGTGGGGGTGAGGGCAACACAACTAGTGACAGTGGCCAGTCAAGAACCTAATTACAGAAAGCACACGATCAATGTCCCACACTCCACTTCTGCTGATTACTCCTAGTCTGATTGTTATTAATCACAGCCCACCAGTTGATGATTAATTAAGGTCCCCTAACTGTGGATCACTGAGGTCACACCAAGGGGGAAAACTCTATTGGCCCTCGCTCTGTGTTACCGTCCTTTGATACTTTTTTTATTAAACCAACAAAAGGTTAATAACTACAGTCGGATTCTCTGCTTGATTTGTCTTCCTTTTGTCTAATAAACCCGAGTTTTAGCTAGAATAGTAAACCTCTTTTGTTTATAAACAAACAATAGTCTCAGCTACAACCGCATCCACTTCGATGAACAATGAGTCATAGCTACTATTGTATTCGAACTAGATCAATGAAGAGTCATAGCTACTATTGGATTCAAATAGTGGATCAATGAAGAGTCATAGTTACAACTGGATTCAAACAGTGTATCAATGAAGAGTCATAGCTACTATTGGATTCAAATAGTGGATCAATGAAGGGTCATAGTTGCAACTGGATTCAAACAGTGTATCAATGAAGAGTCATAGTTATAACTGGATTCAAACAGTGGATCATTGAAGAGTCATAGTTATAACTGGATTCAAACTAGATCAATGAAGAGTCATAGTTACAACTGGATTCAAATAGTGGATCAATGAAGAGTCACAGTTACAACTGGATTCAAACTGTGGATCAATGAAAAGTCATAGTTACAACTGGATTCAAACAGTGGATCAATGAAGAGTCACGATTAAGAGATCCCATTAAGAAGAGTCACAACTACAGTGCGGCCCCATTTTGAGCTGCTAAATAAACCAGTGTGTCGTATCTACGCTCAGATCCTGTTCATCCTGTGTTTTGTTTTGTTGAATAACAAGTGGTCGCTTTATCCTGTTCATACATTTTGGTTCAGTCAAGTCGTGTATAAAGTTAGGTCATCCTGTGTTTTGTTGGTTGAACAAATTCTTAGCTCCGGTTGTTAACTTCAAAAAAATTTCTTCCGTTACTTGAGACTCTTGGTTCGTGAGATATTCTTTGGTTAGCTGAGCTATCAAGTGTCCCAGGTTCACTGTGGCGTCCTCGTCACGCTTCGTTGGTCAGGCGTGTAGGTCAGGTCACAGTGGCGTCCAGGCGTCCTTACAGATAGGACATGGGAGATGGGACAGGATTATGTGTCGGCCCGTTGTTTGCTGTGATTGTGCTGTGGGAACTTCACTCGGGCATGAAGTGTAAACCTGTAGATATGAATGACGCAACAGGTATTCTGTCTGTGTCATGAGTCAAGTTTTCCTACCAGCATGGTATATGTGAGAAGTATAACAGCAGATCACGTGACAACATTCCTTTCTTAGAGGTGCAACACATTTCTTCGTCGAAATCACGTGACAACTTTCTCCGTCGAAATCACGTGACAAGTGTCCTCATCTAAATCACGTGACAAGTTTCCTCATCACGTGACAAATGTCCCCATCACGTGACAACTCTCCCCTTTGAAATCAAGTGACAAGTCTGATCACTAAACCAAGTAACAAGTTCCCCACCTTATTGCAGCTAAGTTTTCACAACTTACTCAAGTGCCAATTTCTATGACCTCATACATGTCACCCCGACACGCGCATGTCCGTGCAAGTTTGTGCTGAATCAAACAAACAGTTGAACCAATCAAGATGTTTTTGTCACCTTCAATCCCGTGATTGGACTCCTAATTAACGTTTTAATTTGAGGTTAGGCCCCACACATGCTAACCTGGGCGTGATAATGTGGCGACGACCAACCTTTAGTGTTTGCCCAGGTTTCCTAAGTGTAAGGACTTTAAAAATCTGGGCGAGATTTGAAATCACTCCGGAGAGAGAGAGGTTGAATTGATTTTCTTCTATGTTGTGTTCCATTAGCGACTCGCTCATCTTCATACGCTCATACCAAGTGTGTGGGTGTGTGGGTCGCTGTGTGGTGGTGAGTTGCTGTGTGTGTGTTTGTGGTTATGCCAGACTTTGGCGAGCAAGAAGTGGGGCGGGATGTGTGAGGGGGGTGGAGGGGAGGTCCACTCCAGCTTGGATAAAAAAAGACCGCCTTATGTCGATAAATTACCGAGTGTTAAATGGCCCAGTTATGCGTGTTCACGGGAGTTAAGAAAATAAACAACAGGCGATTTATATAAAAAAAATAATATTTCATCACATCATTGATTTGCTGTTTTTTTTCTTGTTTGTGTAGTTTTTTTTTTCTGGTTTAAAAATTCTTTCCCCTCGGTGTAAAGGCGTGAGACGTAGGGTGTGGCTGTCTGAAGTGTGTGGCTAGGAGATGGTTGGGTGTTGTAACTTCGTGGCCTCTAGTGGGATGGCGCCCCCTGCCGCCCTCCACACCACCCCCCCCCGGGACACCAAGCAGGATAGAGCGTTTCCAATTATACGATTGATCATCCGTCGTTCGTGTTATGTTCATTATTTATTGAGAGCTAACAAGGCAGTTGCTGGGGCTAATTGTCGCAAGTATGCCCCGTCCAAATGGCCGATCATAGAGCTGTACTGCTGGCCCTAAAGGCCGATCATATAAGGTAACTGTCCGTCCGAATGGCTGATCATATAACGTAACTGTCCGTCCGAATGGCTGATCATATAACGTAACTGCCTGTCTAAATGTTACTGTTCCATCCAAAAGGCCGATCATACTTCCAGAGTTTCTTCCAGGCATCTCTTCGGGGGGGGGGGGGGGGGGGGGGGGGTCAAAACCCCCCCGAAATTTTTTTACCGCCCCCCCCCCCCGAACGAAATGAAATGTATATAATTTATATAGAAAATATATACTTTTAACAGTGTCCGCCCCCTCCCCCCCAAAGAAAGTCTACCCCCCCCCACCCCCCGAAAATTTCAAGTGCCCCCCCCCCCCCCGGAGAAAAAAGTCTGGAAGAAACACTGCATACAACTATATTGCCTGTTTAAATGGCCGATCAAAGAACTTTACTTCCGGTCCAAAAGGCCGATCATATAACGCTACTGTCCGTCCAAATGCCTGATTAAAGAACTTATCAATGTTCCATATTTACATGAAGGATGTAGAACTGAGAGTATTGTTTCAGCGAATTACGAAAAGCTTCGTGTCAATACCGACGTGAGTACAGAATTCTTCGACACTGTAGCATCACAGGTATCACTCTAAGGGGGAGCATGTGTGGGTGGTTTGCCCATGGGGCGGTTATGTGTGGGGAGGTCTGTCCATGTGTGGGGAGGTCTGTCCATGTGTGGGGAGGTCTGCCCATGTGTGGGAAGGTCTGCACATAGGGCGGTCACGTGACAAACCTAAGGCCACCAATTGGGGTCTGGGTGCTGATCTTTGTTGTTGGTGCACCTGTGACTATAATATGTGATGAATACATTTTCTATGACCATCAGGTATGGTGGAGATATTATCTGTGACCATAGTATGTGGTGCAGATATTGTCTCTGATGTGTGGCACCGACGTTTCCAGTGACTCTTTTATTTAGGAAAGCGACATTTCCTGAAACTGTATATCGTTGGGTACCGTCATTCCCTTTACTCTGTAACGTAGTGTACCGACATTTCTACAACGTGGTGTATCAACAATTCCTTTGACTATAACTTAGTGTTCCGCCATTTCCCGTAGACACTTAACACATATCCTAACACCAGCCCGTAATGTCGTTTGGCCTGATTTATTATTTATTCACCATTATCTCTAGCACTCACAAACTGACTGGATTTTGTCTTTCCCTCCATCAGCTATCATCATCTTCTGTGAGTTTGGGTGTTTATCAATGGTTTCTGTACGCCGCATGCGACAATGTATGGTTTATATCCAGTGATTACAATCAATTTTAAAATTTGGAATTGTAACAAGAAACAAGAGGAGCCACTTTGTTACTGTTTGTTGTTACCGTATGTTTTCGACTACAACAAAAAATATTCTTATCCAATTTTACAATCAAATTTTACGCCTAGCTATCTAAAAGCTTAGCATTTGATGGGATGTGACCTTTACAGTGTTACTGGATTTATCTCCCCTTATGCTGTTTGTTTCCGCCTCTTTATTTAGTGTATACAAACCTAACATTTAAACAAAAAATTACAAGTTTTTAAACTTTCACTACGAAGCGACGAGAATTTAGTTCAACTATTACATTTATGCCACCCTTCTACACCCTGACAATGTCACCATCTTGCATATATTATCTGTATGTGGTTCTAGTGACGTCATCTTATATTTATATCTGTATGTTGTTTTATCCACAGTGGCGCCATCTTATATTTATATCTGTATGTTGTTTTACTGACGCCATCTTATATGTAATACCCGTATGTTGTTCCATCTACAGTGGCGCCTTCTCCGAAGTTGTGTTGGCAGAGAACAAAGCAGAACGCGGGAAATACAACGCCGTCAAGTGCATCAACAGGAGGGGGTTGAGGGGGAAGGAGGAGGCGTTGGAGAATGAGATATCTGTGCTCAGGAGGTTGGTTCTCTTCTCCTGTTTCTCTCTGTGTCTCTGTGTCTCCTCTCTAGTATCTGTGGTCTTTCTTCTTATCTTAGTTTATATTGACTCTGTTAACACAGTCCTTTCTCTTACCATAATCCTGCTTCTCTTATCCTGCTTATATTCTAATCCTACTTATATCCAAGTCCTGCTTATGACCTGATACAACTTCTCTTATCCTGATGTCCTGATCCCATTACTGTTATCATGATATCCTAGTCCTGCTTATGTCCTGATCATGCTTATGCCTGGTCCTACTTCTCTTATCCTGATGTCCTGGTCCTACTTATCTTGTCCTACACCAGTCTCGCCCATAACAACATCACTTGACGACCACCACAGTTATGTTACCTGCCATCACCACCTGTTTACACCATAATCCATACATATTCATGTAACATCGTGACATTCGTTGAACCATCATTCATGTACACATGTCGTTTATCAACTGTCACTAGCAGAATACCGTCACCCTCTCCCCCCCCCTCAAACCGATGGTATATATTCATCAACTGTCACCAGTAAAATACCTCCACCCCCTCAACCAATGATATAACTTTATCAACCATCACCAGTAGAATACATGAATCCCCATCCCCCTTTATCCAACGGTATAACTTTATCAACCATCATCCACAAGTAGCGTAAACTCCCCCCACTCCAACGGATGGTAGAAATGTATCGACCATCACCAGCAGAATACCTTCAACCCCCCCCCCCCATCTCAACCGATGGTATAACTTCACCAACCATCATCAGAAGAGTACCTTCATCTCCCCCCCCCACTGGTCAGCCTACAGTCCTGTGTCCACCACTCCAGTACACCACTCACTAGCTACTCAACCTTTCAGCTCGTCTTGTTGACTAATTAAATTTCTATGGCGAGCAACTATTGACCAAAGCACTTGAGGTGTCCCAGCCAAGTTGTTTACAAGATGTTCAGTTCAGTTTCAAATGTTCAGGTGAACGTTATCAAAGATGTTCATGATCATATATATTCAATACTCCAACCTCATGTTCATTTCCATACAATAACCACAAAAGATATCCAATATACCACACAATGTTTAATTTACCAACTATGTGTTAAATGTTATAGCCAAAATGTCCACTATCCCCACCAAATGTCCACTATCCCTTCAAAATGTCCAGTATCCCTACAAAATGTCCAGCATCTCCAAAAAATGACCACTATCCCTACACAATGTCCACTATCCCTACCAAATGTCCACTATCCCTACCAAATGTCCACTATCCCTACACTATGTCCACTATCCCTACACTATGTCCACTATCCCTACATAATGTCCAGTATCCCTACAAAATGTCCAACATCCCTACAAAATGTCCACTATCCCTACACAATGTCCAGCATCCCTACAAAATGTCCAGCATCCCTACAAAATGTCCACTACACAATGTTATCGTCAAGACATCACCATAAGGTAGTGTATTGATTTTGTTTCTCTTTGCCAGACTGAGCCACCCCAACATAGTTCGACTGGTGGATGTGTTTGAGGACAAAACACACGTGTACCTGGTCATGGAGTTGTAAGTAACACACTTTTTACTTAGGTGTAACATCCCTATTAGGTACTTCATACAGGTGTAACATCCCTATTAGGTACATGTAACTTTTGTCTTTCATACAGGTGTAACTTCTCTCTCACATAAAGGTGTAACTTCACTCTCACATAAAGGTGTAACTTCTCTCTCACATAAAGGTGTAACTTCTCTCTCACATAAAGGTGTAACTTCTCTCTCACATAAAGGTGTAACTTCCCTCTCACATAAATATGTAACTTCTCTCTCACATAAAGGTGTAACTTCTCTCACAAAGAGGTGTGACGTTTCTCTCACATGAAGGTTGTAATATTTCTCCTTCACATAAACGTGTAACATTTCTCTCACATAAAGGTTGTAATATTTCTCCCTCACATAAAGGTGTAATATTTCTCTCACATAAAGGTGTAATATTTCTCCCTCACATAAAGGTGTAATATTTCTCTCACATAAAGGTGTAATATTTCTCCCTCACATAAAGGTGTAATATTTCTCTCACATAAAGGTGTAATATTTCTCCCTCACATAAAGGTGTAATATTTCTCCCTCACATAAAGGTGTAATATTTCTCCCTCACATAAAGGTGTAATATTTCTCTCACATAAAGGTGTAATATTTCTCCCTCATATAAAGGTGTAATATTTCTCTCACATAAAGGTGTAATATTTCTCCCTCACATAAAGGTGTAATATTTCTCTCACATAAAGGTGTAATATTTCTCCCTCACATAAAGGTGTAATATTTCTCTCACATAAAGGTGTAATATTTCTCCCTCACATAAAGGTGTAATATTTCTCTCACATAAAGGTGTAATATTTCTCCCTCACATAAAGGTGTAATATTTCTCTCACATAAAGGTGTAATATTTCTCTCACATAAAGGTGTAATATTTCTCCCTCACATAAAGGTGTAATATTTCTCTCACATAAAGGTGTAATATTTTTCCCTCACATAAAGGTGTAACATTTCTAACATAGGTCTAACATTTCTCAGCGAAACCCCACATCAACAAGTGCTGTTACCCCACTTTATAAGCACATTGTATCTTAACCTCGCCTCCTATCTCTCCCCCCACCTTTTGTTTATCTCCATGCCCCGCCCACAACTGCTTGTTCTCTAGGTCTATTAGGGTCGGCCCCATCAGGGGGCCAGGCCACGATGACAAGTTTATCCCTACCCACATACCTGGGCAGCTGACACACTCGTCTGCTATTTAGTTCCAGAGTTTAATTCCTCAGTGGATCTGGCTCGGGCTTTAGTGTATACAACTACCCGTATGTGAAGTTTGGAGCGCCGGAACTAGATTTGTTCACCGCCCCACCCCCTCACACAATAAACATGTATGTAGATCACTAGAGGTACAGTACTGCCACTTACCATCACACTAACGACCTCACTGTGGCTAAATTCTTACTTTTTATTGTATGTGGGGAGGGGGATAAGACTATAATGTTGCGTACAATGCTAGCTTGTGACATAATCATCATTGATGTAGATGAAGGTGCTGAATATGCTGTACACATACTTTTACACCACGTAGACTGTACACATCGTATGGTACACGATGTTGACTGTGGACATCATATTGTACACATGTTGACTGTACACATCATACTGAACGTGTGTTGTACACATATTGAACGCGTGTTGTACACAATTTTGACTGTACACATCATATTGTACACAATTTTGACTGTACACATCACATTGAACGCGTGTTGTACAAGACGAGGTACACGTGTACTGGAGTACTCCTGAGATTGCTGCCCCACATTGTTGACACGACGTGAGGATATCGATCCCTTTCAGACTCATCTGGTCGATCCCTTTCACACTCATCTGGTCGATCCCTGTCATACACGTGTTTTGTCGACCCCTGTCATACACGTGTTTTGTCGAACCCTGTCATACTAATCTGGTCGACCCCTGTCATATACGTGTTTTGTCTATCCCGATGATCCCTGTGTTTTTGACGATCCCTATCAGACCCCCGTGGGTTTCTACCCCTGTCATACACGTGTTTTTGTCAATACTTGCAGTAGAGGGTAGTCAATACTTGCAGTAGACGGTATTCAATACGTGCAGTAGAAGGCATTCAATACTTGTAGTAGAAGGTATTCTATACTTGCAGTAGAAGGTATTCAATACGTGCAGTAGAAGGTATTCAATACGTGCAGTAGAAGGTATTCAATACTTGCAGTAGAAGGTATTCAATACTTGCAGTAGAAGGTATTCAATACTTGCACTAGAAGGTATTCAATACTTGCAGTAGAAGGTATTCAATACTTGCAGTAGAAGGTATTCAATACTTGAAGTAGAAAGTATTCAATACTTGCAGTAGAAGGTATTCAATACTTGCAGTAGAAGGTATTCAATACTTGCAGTAGAAGGTATTCAATACTTGCAGTAGAAGGTATTCAATACTTGCAGTAGAAGGTATTCAATACTTGCAGTAGAAGGTATTCAATACTTGCCGTAGAAAGTATTCAATACTTGCCGTAGAAAGTATTCAATACTTACAGTAGATGGTTTTCATGCAGTAGAAGGTATTCAATACTTGGAGTAGATGGTTTTCATGCAGTAGATGGTATTCAACACTTGCAGTAGATGGTATTGAACATACAAAAACTTCAAAAAAAAAAACAGGAAGTTTAGCTGGTGAACTATGACAGGAAACCTTTAAAGTTCCGGAGTGGCACTCTTCTGTTGCAGAAGTTTTCTTGACTTTTCTATGTAGACAGATTTTCATACATTGATTATAGACGGGTGTCTTCACCTTTTAATTATAGACAGGTTTTCATCATTTGATTGTAGGCACATGTCTTCAATTTATTTGACATGTGTCTTATTACATTTGATTATAAACATGTGTCTTGATAATGCAATTATTGACAGTTATTTTAGTCACTGTCTTAAAAACGTCCATCTTGAGCTCCACATATTCGGACCGGTGGAGCCGGCAGACTGCAGTGTCAGGCAACCGGTGGAGCCGGCAGACTGCAGTGTCAGGCTACCGGTGGAGCCGGCAGCACTGCAGTGTGAGACAACCGGTGGAGCCGGCAGACCGCAGTGTGAGACAACCGGTGGAGCCGGCAGACCGCAGTGTGAGACAACCGGTGGAGCCGGCAGACTGCAGTGTCAGACAACCGATGGAGCCGGCAGACCGCAGTGTCAGGCAACCGGTGGAGCCGGCAGCACTGCAGTGTGAGACAACCGGTGGAGCCGGCAGACCGCAGTGTGAGACAACCGGTGGAGCCGGCAGACCGCAGTGTGAGACAACCGGTGGAGCCGGCAGACTGCAGTGTCAGACAACCGGTGGAGCCGGCAGACCGCAGTGTCAGGCAACCGGTGGAGCCGGCAGCACTGCAGTGTGAGACAACCGGTGGAGCCGGCAGACCGCAGTGTGAGGCAACCGGTGGAGCCGGCAGACTGCAGTGTCAGACAACCGGTGGAGCCGGCAGACCGCAGTGTCAGGCAACCGGTGGAGCCGGCAGCACTGCAGTGTGAGACAACCGGTGGAGCCGGCAGACCGCAGTGTGAGACAACCGGTGGAGCCGGCAGACCGCAGTGTCAGGCAACCGGTGGAGCCGGCAGACTACAGTGTCAGGCAACCGGTGGAGCCGGCAGACTACAGTGTCAGGCAACCGGTGGAGCCGGCAGACTACAGTGTCAGGCAACCGGTGGAGCCGGCAGTCTGCAGTGTCAGGCAACCGAAGGAGCCGGCAGACTACAGTGTCAGGCAACCGGTGGAGCCGGCAGACTACAGTGTCAGGCAACCGGTGGAGCCGGCAGTCTGCAGTGTCAGGCAACCGAAGGAGCCGGCAGACTACAGTGTCAGGCAACCGGTGGAGCCGGCAGACTACAGTGTCAGGCAACCGGTGGAGCCGGCAGTATGCAGTGTCAGGCAACCCGTGGAGCCGGCAGACCACAGTGTCAGGCAACCGGTGGAGCCGGCAGACCGCAGTGTCAGGCAACCGGTGGAGCCGGCAGACTGCAGTGTCAGGCAACCGGTGGAGCCGGCAGACCGCAGTATCAGACAACCGGTGGAGCCGGCAGACCGCAGTGTCAGGCAACCGGTGGAGCCGGCAGACTGCAGTGTCAGGCAACCGGTGGAGCCGGCAGTCTGCAGTGTGAGACAACCGGTGGAGCCGGCAGACTATGTCAGGCAAATGTCGGTCATTGACTTGTGAGCAGTCGATCTGTTAATTGAATTACGTAATTCCTGCCGGCTGGCTAATGAACTTAGTCAAGCGCCGCCTGGGACCAACCACCGACAACCCTGCTTTAACTCTGAGCTTCTGTGCTTTAAGCTCCCTTGTCTTATCCCATGGGATTATGTTGTACGGACATATTTCTTTTCTTCACGTCCTGCGGGGTTTTGTCAAAATGAAATGGCTGGGGGGGGGGGGGGGGGGAGTAAGGTGGTGGTGTGTGTGTGGGGGGGGGGGGGGTATTTCACAGATCGACAGAGACAATACCCAGAGAAGGATCATGATGACACCCAGACTACCCCCCTCCCACCACCCACACACCGCCCCACCCTTTATAAAAACAAGTCAGAACGCGCATTAAGATTGAGCTGGCGAAGGCGGTATCCTACCGGATTTGATTTTAGATTTAATTTTTTACAATGGATCATACGCTTCAATTTTTAAAAGCTGTACGGATGTGCAAAAATCTCATGTTCCCGTAACTCTCATCAATTTAGTTTGAGCCGGATTTTTTCTTTAATGTCCTAGGAGGGCTCTAAATACTATATTTTTTATTCTAGGTGATCGGAAAGATGCGCAGCAGAAATTTTTTTAAAATTTTATTTTATTGTCTAAAATTGAGTTTTATAAACGTGAATAAAGAATCACCACGTGCCCACTGTAGCATAATAAAACACTTTTCCACGAAGTATGACTAAATTTAAGCGTATTAGTATAATTAGTTTGTATTTCCGCATTTTTTCTGTTACCGCAGTTTTCCGCGGCGCAGTTTTCCGCTTCCGCATTGTTCTGGGAACTTGTGTTCTCGACGTTCCAAACCTGAACAACTACATTGTCTAACTGAAGGCCAGCGCATCTCAACGATGTATAGAGCCTAAACTACAGCTCTACCGGCTCTAGTACTGACATTTTACAGAAGTAACTCAGACTCATCTGTCCCATCGAGTTGCCTCGGTGCAGAGGCGTAGCGAGGGGGGAGGGGTGACATCATTTAGGGGGGTGACACCAAGGCAAAAAATAGTAATATATATATAGAAATATTTGTGGGGGGGGGGGTGCAAATCGAAAGTTTGAGGGGGGGGGGGGGTGCAAATCGAAAGTTCGAGGGGAGGGGTGCAAAATCGAAAATTGACAGTTTGTCCCTGGGAAGAGTCGCTACGCCTCTGAGGGGGTGACGCCCGACCTCGCTACGCCACTGCCTCGGTGTACATGTATAATAGATGTGGGCTGGGGAAATATTCCTGGGACTGTGGTTTCATCGCCCAATGCCTGGGGATGTTTCTCTAACGCTTCAGCAACCAACACGACATTATTTTAAAAACACGACATTCGCCATCGAGTAAACGACATTCTGATCTCACTGATTGCCGCACGGCAGAACAATTGTTTTCATCTGTTGTTGTTTTTCAAATTTCGAGAACAAAAAATCGATATCTGCACAGCTTCATGTCTTCACCGCCTACGGCATTTTTTTTTGTTTCAAATTTAGCTGTTGTTTTGTTTGTCCTCGTCTGATACTTGGCTCACATCGAATCTGTTAGACCTACAACCTCCACCCCCCACTGTATGTACTCAGAGTTTCTTCCAGGTATCTCTTCGGGTGCAAGGGGCACTGCCCCCCCCCCCCGAACGAAATGGAATTTATATAGAAAACATACTTTTACCAGTGTCCGCCCTCCCCCCCCCCCCCTCCCGAAAATATCAAGTGCACCCCCGGAGAAAAAAAGTCTGGAAGAAACACTGTATGTACTGCTCTTCACCAACTTTATACCACCAGCTATACGGCCTATGCCACCAGCTCCCTCCCCCCCCCATTCCCTACCAATCTATCTCTATATATATATATATAATTCTCTTCTGGGAGACGTTAGAAAACAAGCTGCAAGCGCGCCTTGCAGTCCCCTCTCTTCCTCTCTATCACTACCACCCCCACCCACCACATGGTCTGGTGAGCTGTGGTTCACGCTAAATGTTTACATTCATAGAGCCGGGTTTAGTGACGGCTATTAGGGGCAGATAATGTAGTTTGAAACGATTTTAAACTTAGAGGAGGTAACTAAAAGGAGGCTGCTTTCACGGGGGGGGGGGGGGGGGGGTGTAGTGTAGGGGTTATGGGAAGAGGGGGGGGTGGGGTTAGTGCTTTAAAGCAAATATATTCAGTGGCAGCCTTAATACTGTCGAATTCACAAATTATGAATTACTGAAAAGTAGAAAATAAAACAACTAAATAGCGGCGTATGATACGCCGCGGGTCGGCTCGTTCTATATATTACTGCCGCACCAAGTCTGCTCCTGCCTCCCCTCCCCTACACCCTCAAACCACGTGTTACGCTCTACTTTTGTTCAGATTTCCAACAATGGATGCTCAGTCGAATCAATTTCTCGGAAATGAAAACGTTAACTCGCCCACTCCCCCCCCCCCCCACCTCTCTCCCTCTCCATAAGTACTTGACAGGAAATCTTCCCCTAATCTTGGATCCAACATCAGCATAACACACCTGGTTCTAGCCCTCGATTGTCTCTCCATGTTTGCCTCAACTCTCGTGGGCGTCCAGCCCTTACTCCACAATGGACTGTATTTGAAATGGAAATAAAAGAATCAAACATGAGTTAACTATCTGGTGTCACCCTCTCCCCCCCCCCCCCCCCCCCTACCTCTCAGGTCTCAGCCCAACATCACAAGCTGAAATCGATAATATCAATGAAAACATTGAAAAATTTTGTTCCCTTGATTTCTTCTCCACTACAGTCGAGTTGTTTTTTTTTATCAGTTCACTCGCTTATAAATAAATAAACGATGTCGGCTTGCTTATCTTTCTGTGGGCTTAATCCTTTGGGTAAGGATCGTGTTCTACCTCCTCCCCCACCCCGCTCCGTTTGATGGAGGCCGGGTAAATAAAAGTCAGTCAGAAGAGGAGTAATCGCCCCTGGCGTTCAATTAATACTTTGGATTTTAGGCGCCTTAAGTCTGCGAGAGTGCGTTGTTCGGCAGTTAGGTTCAACTCTAATTGCGCATTCAGCTGGTACAGTAGTTTAACCTGCCGACAGGCCTCTCTCTTGATAGTGATACGCTAATTTATGGGGATATACAACTTGAGGGTGATACGCTAATTTATGGGGATATACAACTTGATGGTGATACGCTAATTTATGGTGATACACAACTTGATGGTGATACGCTAATTTATGGTGATACACAACTTGATGGTGATACAGTACTTGATGGTGATACAGTACTTGATGGTGATACACTACTTGATGTTGATACACTACTTGATTCGTGATACACTACTTGATGGTGATATACTACTTGCTAGTGACTTCTAAACTGCAAGATACATCCACAATCCTTGATAGTTTTTTTTTTTAAATCCTTTATAAAATTAAATTTTTATGTTTATAAATATAGCTATTCACCTCATGTTTTGTATTATCTTAATCATCGGTTTGATAAAATGTCCTCTTTACATAATAAAAAGAAATTACCATAAATCATGTTTATTGCTGTGGGTCTTTGTGAGTTCACTACATCAAATAGTTTGTTCGTGAGAAGTTGGCTAGTAAAAAAAAACAACAGATGGAAGACTTGAACATTTCTCCGAAGATTTTTTTCTTTATTGAAATGACAGCGATATAAAAGAAATAACGTCACGATTGTACAGCCTTGGTCTACTCGCTCGTCTTGTGAAGCCATCGATTGGTCGTCTGGTGTGGGGTGTTTTAATGCAAGTTTCGTGACTAGAACTGGGACTCAGAAGTCATACAGTCCACAAAACAGCTTGTCATTGTGTCATCATGACTTGACCATTTATTGTGGGCGTAGAGTGGATCTTATTTTAACGTCTTGGTGATTTTAATTGCCCACCCGTTTATTAAGTGACCATCCTTACAATGACCCCCATTTAATACTGTCTTGACCATCCATACAATGACCCCCATTTAATGCTGTCTTGACCATCCAATCAATGACCCCCCCCCATTTAATGCTGTCTTGACCATCCATATAATGACCCCCAATTAATGCTGTCTTGACCATCCTTACAATGACCCCCATTTAATACTGTCTTGACCATCCATACAATGACCCCCCATTTAATGCTGTCTTGACCATCCATATAATGACCCCCATTTAATGCTGTCTTGACCATCCAATCAATGACCCCCCCCATTTAATGCTGTCTTGACCATCCATATAATGACCCCCATTTAATGCTGTCTTGACCATCCAATCAATGACCCCCCATTTAATGCTGTCTTGACCATCCAATCAATGACCCCCCATTTAATGCTGTCTTGACCATCCAATCAATGACCCCCCATTTAATGCTGTCTTGACCATCTAATCAATGACCCCCATTTAATGCTGTCTTGACCATCCATATAATGACCCCCAATTAATGCTGTCTTGACCATCCATATAATGACCCCCATTTAATGCTGTCTTGACCATCCATATAATGACCCCCATTTAATGCTGTCTTGACCATCCATATAATGACCCCCATTTAATGCTGTCTTGACCATCCAATCAATGACCCCCCATTTAATGCTGTCTTGACCATCCATACAATGACCCCCCATTTAATGCTGTCTTGACCATCACTACAATGACCCCCCATTTAATGCTGTCTTGACCATCACTACAATGACCCCCCATTTAATGCTGTCTTGACCATCCATACAATGACCCCCATTTAATGCTGTCTTGACCATCCATACAATGACCCCCATTTAATGCTGTCTTGACCATCCTTACAATGACCCCCATTTAATGCTGTCTTGACCATCCATACAATGACCCCCACATGTTAATGTGCTGTCTTGACCATCCAATCAATGACCCTCTCGTATTAATACTGTCTTGACCATCTGACCACAGAGTGACCGGTGGTGAGCTGTTTGACCGTATTGTGGAGAAAGGCAGCTACACGGAGAAGGACGCCAGTCTCTTGATACGGCAGGTCTTGGAGGCGGTGGATTACATGCATGATAGGGGAGTGGTGCACAGGGATCTAAAGGTGAGTTTACAGGTAGGGGGGTCACAGGGGTCTATAGGTGAGTGTACAGGTAGGGGGGTCACAGGGGTCTATAGGTGAGTGTACAGGTAGGGGGGTCACAGGGGTCTATAGGTGAGTTTACAGGTAGGGGTGGGGGGCACAGGGATCTAAAGGTGAGTTTACAGGTAGGGGGTCACAGGGGTCTAAAGGTGAGTTTACAGGTAGGGGGTGGGGGGCACAGGGATCTAAAGGTGAGTTTACAGGTAGGGGGTCACAGGGGTCTAAAGGTGAGTTTACAGGTAGGGGGTCACAGGGGTCTAAAGGTGAGTGTACAGGTAGGGGGGGTCACAGGGGTCTAAAGGTGAGTTTATACAGGTAGGGGGTCATATGGATCTAAAGGTGAGTTTACAGGTAGGGGGGTCACAGGGGTCTAAAGGTGGGTTTATACAGGTAGGGGGGTCACAGGAATCTAAAGGTGAGTGTACAGGTAGGGGGTCATATGGATCTAAAGGTGAGTTTATATAGGTAGGGGATCACAGGGGTCTAAAGGTGAGTATACAGGTGGGGGGTCATAGGGGTCTAAAGGTAGGGGGTCACAGGGATCTAAAGGTGAGTTTATATAGGTAGGGGATCACAGGGGTCTAAAGGTGAGTTTATACGGGTAGGGGGTCACAGGGGTCTAAAGGTGAGTTTATATAGGTAGGGGGTCACATGGGTCTAAAGGTGAGTTTATATAGGTAGGGGGGTCACAGGGGTCTAAAGGTGAGTTTATATAGGTGTGTGTGTTGGGGGGGGGGTGCACATGGATTTTACGTTGAGCTTACACAGGTGGAGGTGGTGTAGTCTACAGGTATATAAGGTGTACATTGATTGTTAATTTACACAGGTAGGGGGTGGATACGGGACGGCCCCACCCATCCCGTCCAACCCGTGCCCTACATCCGGCCTAACAAGAGCCAAAGCCTGTTTGTATTGCTTGAATAATTCAGCTCTTAATTCTGAAAATGTATTCCCCGAGCCTGTTTTCCCGAGGTTTTCTCCAGACTTGTTTGTTTCCCGCTCGGGTTTCCCTGGCCGCTGACCCAAGCTGACCCCTGGGACTCTGGGAAACAATTCGGCCAATGGAAATGTTTGTTATAAGCTCAACGGCTTTTTAAGTGGGCGGTTTCGATCTTTGCTAGAGAGGTTTCTTTTATCTGTTTTATCACGGAGAGGATGGCCTTGTGAATTGTTGGCCATGTTGTGAATTGTTGGCCATGTTGTGAAGTATTGGCCATGTTGTGAAGTATTGGCCATGTTGTGAATTGTTGGCCTTGTTGTGAAGTATTGGCCATGTTGTGAAGTATTGGCCATGTTCTGAAGTATTGGCCAATTTTGTGAAATGTTGGCCATGTTGTGAATCGTTGGCCATGTAGTCAAATGTTGGCCATATTTTGAAAAGTAAAATGTTGGCCATGTTATGAAGTGTTGGCCATGTTATGAAAAGTTGCCGTGTTGTAAAATGTTCGCCATGTTATGAAGTAGTGGCCATATTGTAAAATGTTGGCCATGTTATGAAGTAGTGGCCATATTGTAAAATGTTGGCCATGTTATGAAGCGTTGGCCATCTTACGAAGTGTTGGCCATGTTATGAAGTAGTGGCCATATTGTAAAATGTTGGCCATGTTATGAAGCGTTGGCCATGTTATGAAGTAGTGTCCAATGTTGCGAAATGTCGCCCATGTTATAAAACCTGACCAGATTGTCTATTCCATCAGTATTTCGAAATACTAAGTACAAAACCTTCATTTATTAAACAAGCAGAGAGATTTAATCCCGATACATTAAAAGGTGTTTTTTTTTTAAATGTTTGTTCTGTTTTAAAAAGAAAAAGTCTATTTAATTTTAAACTCGTGACTGTTTCACTGAATGCAGCCATTTTGATGTGTTGGGTGGTTTCCGCAAGGAAAAATTCTTTTAGTTTACATTTTCGAAAAGTGACTTCCACCAACCTCCCCCCCCCCCCCCCCCCGATTCACCTGCTCCAAACAGTGACGTCACCCACACCGCATCAAGTCTATAAAGACACATTTCCCGACATAATACTCTCCGACCCAGACCGACATCTAGCCGACCCGGACATGAAAGTACCTGACCCAGCCGCCATAAATGTCAACTGCCCCTGGGTCACCGGTCCCATGGACAGGACAATTATTTTTTTTTAAGAACGAAACCCAAAACTGGAGCTCATAGAAAGTAATCACCAGTGTCTTTTCTGTGGTGTTTTGCTGTATTCGATTCTAATAACTCCCCTACGTCATGTGTCCCTCCCATCATCTCCAGCTGACGTCACTCTACTCTCGTGTCGAATTGCTCCACTTGTCGCGTGTTTTTTGTCGTGTTGATGAGGCTCGTGAGGAGAATGACGACGCTATGTTTTACCTCAGGCTACGGGGCGGATAGTGTTCTTGCTAGCACCATTATTTTTTTTGGCTCAAGTTTAAAAAAAAAACACGAAACGTGCAGATATTTTTTCTTCTTATATTTCTCGCCCGGGGGGTAGCAGAGACCTTGTCGTGAAGTTTCTACCCCACCCCCCCTGATCATTTTACCCTCTCCTATTTTTTTTTTTACTAAAAAACGTAATGCCGTAAGGATATTAAAAAAAAACAACACCGTATCGTCTTATCGTGAAGGTTTTAGTATTTGTTTAACGTGGGTGTTGGTCTGCTAATTGCGATGGGTGGACCTGGGTTCAAACCCCAGTTTCTGCTGTCACGTTATGTTCATGAGACCTTTGGTGGTCGAGTCGTTAGACGACTAGCGATACTGTTGGGAGCGTTGGCTCTGTCACTGTTACCCTAGTGTTCTACTGTCACATCCCTCTGCCACTCTAGTGTCACGTCGTATTCTGTCACAGTGTCACGTCCCTCTGCCACTCTAGTGTCACGTCCATCTGTCACCCTAGTGTCGCGTCTGCCACCCTAGTGTCACGTCCATCTGCCACCCTAGTGTCACGTCCATCTGTCACCCTAGTGTCACGTCCCTCTGTCACCCTAGTGTCACGTCCCTCTGCCATCCTAGTGTCACGTCCCTCTGTCACACTAGTGTCACGTCTCTCTGTCACCCTAGTGTCACGTCCATCTGTCACCCTAGTGTCACGTCCCTCTGTCACACTAGTGTCACGTCTCTCTGTCACCCTAGTGTCACGTCCATCTGTCACCCTAGTGTCACGTCCATCTGCCACCCTAGTGTCACGTCCCTCTGTCACCCTAGTGTCACGCCCATATGTCACCCCTGTCTAACCAGGATGTCAACGTTCCTAGTTATAGAAAAATCTCTCTCACGCTGTAAAAAAAATGTTATATGAAAAACTCCCAGAGTGTGAGAGAGAAATAAAACCCGCGGGGGGGGGGGGGGGGGAGGAAGAGAACAAGCGATTTCCCTGCTTATTGATTTGCAAATGTTTTCTTGAAATGTCTCGGCTATTACCGCGTGATACACGCTGCCGTCTGCACCACGTCCTGCCTGCTGATGTGGGGGTGGGGGTGGGGTAGGGAGGTGAGGTGTAACTTAATCCTTGTCATCGCTGATCTGGTCATTTTGTCATTTGTTATTGGTAACATGCTGAGCTTGGGGTCGTTGAACTATAACCTGCTGACCCCTTGGGGGGTCGTTGAACTATACCTTTAACCTACTGACCTCGTAACTTACTTTTATCGAACTCCAAACTCTGACCTTGACTATGAGAACAGTCCATGATTTATCCAAGATCGAAAACAACTCAAACCCCACTTCCCATTGTTTGAAACGTACGATCACGTGAGCTTGTCACGTGACACGCCAGTCTCCTCTCATCGATCTGGTTACTCAAGGTTTGCTCCCCACCTCCAGCCCCACCCCCATCCCCACCCTACCTCCCAATTCTAAAGCACCCCGCTAGTCTGGCTATCTCGGCCACTCAACCGACCTTCTGATGGCTATCTCGGCCACTCAACTGACCTTCTGATGGCTATCTCGGCCACTCAACTGACCTTCTGATGGCTATCTCGGCCACTCAACTGACCTTCATAGGCTATCTCGGCCACTCAACTGACCTTCAGATGGCTATCTCGGCCACTCAACTGACCTTCTGATGGCTATCTCGGCCACTCAACTGACCTTCTGATGGCTATCTCGGCCACTCAACTGACCTTCTGATGGCTATCTCGGCCACTCAACTGACCTTCATAGGCTATCTCGGCCACTCAACTGACCTTCAGATGGCTATCTCGGCCACTCAACTGACCTTCAGATGGCTATCTCGGCCACTCAACTGACCTTCAAAGGCTATCTCTGCCACTCAACTGACCTTCTGATGGCTATCTCGGCCACTCAACTGACCTTCATAGGCTATCTCGGCCACTCAACTGACCTTCTGATGGCTATCTCGGCCACTCAACTGACCTTCTGATGGCTATCTCGGCCACTCAACTGACCTTCTGATGGCTATCTCGGCCACTCAACTGACCTTCATAGGCTATCTCGGCCACTCAACTGACCTTCTGATGGCTATCTCGGCCACTCAACTGACCTTCTGATGGCTATCTCGGCCACTCAACTGACCTTCTGATGGCTATCTCGGCCACTCAACTGACCTTCATAGGCTATCTCGGCCACTCAACTGACCTTCAGATGGCTATCTCGGCCACTCAACTGACCTTCTGATGGCTATCTCGGCCACTCAACTGACCTTCTGATGGCTATCTCGGGCACTCAACTGACCTTCTGATGGCTATCTCGGCCACTCAACTGACCTTCATAGGCTATCTCGGCCACTCAACTGACCTTCAGATGGCTATCTCGGCCACTCAACTGACCTTCAGATGGCTATCTCGGCCACTCAACTGACCTTCAAAGGCTATCTCTGCCACTCAACTGACCTTCTGATGGCTATCTCGGCCACTCAACTGACCTTCATAGGCTATCTCGGCCACTCAACTGACCTTCTGATGGCTATCTCGGCCACTCAACTGACCTTCTGATGGCTATCTCGGCCACTC